TCTGAATACCTGAGGAGTCACGGTCTGCGTTTTGCGGAAGATCTGTCTAAAATGGACAGAGCACGACGTCTCCAGCTATGGCCTGCAGTTAATGAAGCCCGTCTCAAAGGAAAATCTGCTTACTTTGTTGGTGGACGTGCCTTTGTTGCCGGGATCGAAATTAACCCACCATAAGAGATGAGGAAAGGTATCCCTCTTTTTCTATTTTTGGGGATACAGCCCTAAGTTGGATCATTAAGCTAACGTTAACGGTTTTGTTGACAGTATTTTGAATTAAATTGAAGACTGTTGGCCTATGTCTTCAAAATCATTTTTTTTGTTTTGTTCATTTATTTTATACATTTGCCATCGAGACCGGAGTTAACCGATGAACGAGGACATGCAGCAATTTTGCTCACTTGACTGAATGGTTAATTATTTTCTGTTCGTATAAGCCAACATGGGATTTACACACATTTGCCCTCAAATAAAAACACTGGTTTCATAATTATTTTATTTGAACAAGATCAATTTTCATGGCCATTGGAATTTTGAGTTGTTTTTTTTTTTTTTTTTTTTTTTTTTCTCTCTAGGCTACCTAGCTTACGCGGTCTCTCCTACCAGCTGTTCTTGTAATCGCACTTTTTTTGTGGATCACTTTTCACTGTCGTTCTGTCATTGTCTATAGTTACACTAAATGCCAGGGGGTTAAGGCAACATATTAAACGGAAAGCTTTATTTTTATTTGCTAAACAGCATAGGACTGATTTTTGTTTTTTTTCAAGAATCTCATTCGATTCCTGATGATGTGCGTTTCTGGAGGACTCAATGGGGTAACGACATCTGGTGTGCGCATGGATCTGAGCGGTCCGCCGGTGTCGTCACTTTAAAGAACAGATTCACCGGGGAGATTTTGCATACACAGCGTGACGGATCTGGACATTATGTGTGCCATACTCTCAAAATTCATGGTTCTGTATTGCTCATTGTGAATGTTTATGGATATAATTCTAAAAGTGAAAATGATCATTTATTTGAAACTTTAGAGGAGCATATCCTTCAGGAGCTATCGAAATTCCCGGATATTTCTCTTGTCAGGGGGTGATTTCTCTTGTCAGGGGATATTTCTCTTGTCAGGGGGTGATTTTAATACTGTTATGGACGGCTCTCTCGATTGTTTACCTGCAAGACCATCTTATAATCAAAATACAAACCTTAAACGTTTTATGGAGAGATTCAATTTGGTTGATATATGGAGGTCTAGGTTTCCTGATTCTTTGACATATACTTGGAGCAACAAGTCTGGCAACAGGCAATCTCGAATAGATTATTGGTTAGTGTCTGCGAATATACAATCTTCAGATGTCTCTGTTAATGTGATTCCTTCTCCATTCAGCGACCACAAAGCTGTTCTTATCACTATTAATTCCAGCACTTCTCCACATACCATGAGAAGTTGTTATTGGAAACTTAATAGTTCATTACTACAATACGAACATATTAAAAAAAAGGTTAAAAATCTTATTTTATGTTATTGGTATAAAGCACTTTCAGAAAAGAAATTCTGCAGTAATTGGGAGCTATTGAAATTTGACGTAGCTAAGTACTTTCGAAAACAGGGTAGCTTAATGGCAATAGAAAGACGGAATAAAGAGGACAATATTATTTCAAGGTTAGCTCTCCTTTCCTCAAAATCATGTCCAAATGAAGATGAACAAGCTGAGTTAGTCACTCTACAATTGGAGTTGGACAAATTGTATAAGAATAAGGCAGAAGGAGCCTTCACCAGGTCACGAAAGCGCTGGTTGGAGAAAGGGGAACAAAACTCTGCATATTTTTTTGGTCTAGAGAAATTTCATTCTAAAAATAATACAATTGAACAACTTAAAATAGATGGGGATGTCACAGACGACCAAGTTAAAATATCAAAATTTTGTACAGAATTGTATAGTGGTTTATATTCTTCCAAATTCTGTGATCATTCGGCTTATTTATTTCTAAATTCTATCTCTGAAATAAATTGTAAATCTGTCGACCCTGCACAAAAAGAGCTTTGTGATAGCTCAATTACTGTTGAGGAAGTCTCAAATGCTATCACACATATTAAAGTTAATAAATCTCCTGGGGTTGATGGCCTCACGGCTGAATTTTATAAAACATTTTCTTATCTTATTGCCCCGTTTCTTAAAGAAGTTTATATAGAGAGCATAGAAAATCAATGTCTTCCACCTACTTTAACTCAAGGTTTAATTACTCTTATCCCAAAACCAAAAAAAGACCCTCTGCTATTAGATAATTGGAGACCAATCTCTCTCTTAAACAATGATTATAAGATCTTTGCCTTAATTTTTGCGAATCAAATCAGTTATGGACCCCCTTATAGATGAAGCTCAATCTGGCTTCCTAAAGAAAAGACATATTTCAAATAATATAAGGTTAGTTCTAGACGTGTTGGACTATTCACATTTAAGTACTGATGATGGATTTATTCTTTTCTTGGATTTCTATAAAGCCTTCGATACAGTGGAGCATGCTTTTATTTTTAGGTCCTTACAAAAGTTTGGCTTTGGAGATTTTTTTTGTAACGCTATACAGACAATGTATAGGAATGCAAACTGTTCTATTAAACTTAAATGTGGTTCATCATCTAGATTTAATTTAAACCGTGGTATAAGGCAAGGTTGTCCCATCTCCCCTTATCTTTTCTTGTTTTGCACTCAGCTCATGAATATCCATATTAAGTCAAGCCAATTAAAAGGCATATCTTTTGCTAATAGGGAAATTATAATATCCCAGTTAGCAGACGATACTGCACTCTTTCTAAAAGATCAACATCAAGTGTCAGCAGCTCTTAAAGTAATAGATGCCTTTTCTAAAGCTTCAGGCCTTTACTTAAACATCAACAAATGTGAATTGTTATCTGTTAAAGACTGTCAATTACAATAAATTGCTAATATCCCAGTAAAGGAGACTGTGACATATTTAGGGATTGTCATTTCGAAAGACCAAAAATCTAGATGTAAGATAAATTTTGATCCCCTTCTCCAGAAAGCTAAAGCAAAGCTGAACCATTGGCTTTTGAGGGATTTATCCCTAAAAGGTAGAGTTTTGTTATGTAAAGCTGAGGGACTGTCAAGATTAGTCTATACTGCGACTTCACTCGCTGTTTCTAAGGTGATGTGTAAATCTATTGATACTGCATTATTTAATTTTCTTTGGCGAAACAAAACTCACTATATTAGGAAGTCTATAATAATGAATAATTATGAATCTGGTGGTTTAAACTTCCTTGATTTCAGTACTTTAAGTAATGTTTTTAAAATAAATTGGATTAGACATTTCATTCTAAATCCGAATTCCCTTTGGAATTTTATACCCAATCTTGTTTTCTCCCAAGTAGGTGGTCTTGATTTTCTATTGATTTGCAACTATAAAATTGAGAAAATCCCTTTAAATTTGTCTTGCTTTCACAAACAAATGTTGCTGGCTTGGTCCCTTTTATATAAGCATAATTTTTCACCCCATAGATATTTAATTTGGAACAATTACAATTTATTATTTAAAAACAAAACCTTATTTTTTGAAAGATGGTTTTCAGCAGGTATAATACGAGTAGGTCAATTACTAAATCAAGAAGGTATGCTGCTAACTTACTCTGAGTTTTTAGATCTCCATAAAATTCCAGTGACGCCCAGGGAGTTTTCAATTGTCATGGATGCGATCCCTACAGGGGTCTTAGCATTATTCAGAGCTAATAACCAAACCAGTACTACACCCCTTACTTCCTTTAATTTATTTGATACTGAAATTGGGAAGATTTGTTTTGGCCCCGGAGTCGTAAATGTAAATAAAACCATTCGTTCATTGTTTCAAAAAGATATTGTCACGAGGCCAAACTGTATTGTTTACTGGAATAGACTGGTTGAAGGTCTGTTATGGAAGGCCATCTGGACTTTACCAAACAAATATTTATTGGTAAACAAAATAAAGGAAATTAGCTTTAAAATCTTACACAGGTACTACCCAGTAAATAATTTTCTTGTTAAATTTAAAAAGGATATTGATCTGAACTGTTCTTTTTGCAATACATTGCCTGAAACTTTGTTTCATCTGTTTTGGCATTGCGCTCATGTAAGAAAGTTTTGGAAAGACTTATCTAGATTTATAATTCACAATATTGACCCCTCTTTTTCTTTGTGTTTAGAAAATGTTATAGCTGGTTTTAATAATATTCCTTCAAATAAAAGGAAGGAATACTATATTATAAATTTAATTTTAATTTATGCTAAATTCCATATACATAAATGTAAGTACAATAAAACCAACCTTTGTTTTTGGTTCTTGAAAAAGAAATGCAATTATATATCAAAACTATCCTTCATTCCCACAATAAGAAAGCAATTAAAACTATTTCGATTTGTGAATCCTTTGATATTTTTATATAATGTTTAGCCTCCCCCCCTGGCTGTCTGTTTTTTGTTTTTGTTTTTTCTGCTTGTTTTTGTTTTCTCCATTTTGTATATATTGCAATTCTGACTGTATATTGACTTTGTTGTTTAAAAAAAAAAAAAAAAAAAAAAATGTGTAGGCTACTTACATTTACGAGTCATTAAATCATGTTTAATTTTGACTTCTCTGTGCATGCTTTTTGGTGGACCCCCTTAGCCTCCAGTGTATGACTGATAGACAACAACGGTTTGACTGAAAAATGTCAAAATTGAAAATACTGTGGAAACAAAGACACCTACTGTACATCTTGGATGCCCTTGAGGTAAGCTAAAACATATCAACAATTAATTTTAAAGTGAACTATCCCTTTAAGCCATATTCAATAATTTGTTGATCAAGATCAATAATTGTGAATATTTTCCCCCGAAATTCAAATTGAGCTATTAGCATTAAGCGAGATCCTTTTCATATGCTATCAATATGGGCCAACATTTCTAAAAGAATGCTTTCGGCACCTTGTTGAATCAGTGCCTCGTAGAATTAAGTCAGTTCTGAATATGTGTCCTCAAAAAAAAAAAAAAAAAAAAAAAAACAAGAAAAGAAAAGAAAACTGTTGGGACGCCAGTTTGTGGAGGTCCAGTGTTGTCCACCAGAGCGCAGTCTTGCGTCATTAGTTCTCTCGGTCATGGCAACCGCGTTTTCATTGACTCATTCCCTGCATAGATCACACCAAGAACGAACACGCCAAAAACACGGGCGGATTCATGAGGAATGAGCCGAATCCTCTGTCTCCATGACATTCTTCTAAAGGCTTTTCACTGAGTGAGATCTAGAAGAGAGATTTGAATGTTCGCCGTTGATCGGATGTTCAGCTGACTGTGATTGCAGGAACATTGTGCGATCATCATCATGGCTGCGTCTGAATTATATACAAAGGTAAACTCACACACTCATCATGCGATCGTGTTGACATTAAATGCTGATGCCAAAAAAGACTGTAAATGCAATGAACATGTGTCAACGCGATGCCAAATCCTGCATATGTCTGAAAGTGTGTTATTGTTGATGCTCGTTGCTCACGCGTAATGCTTGGGGCATATGTTGTCATTATTGTCCTCTGATCATTTGAATGAAGTAATTCTTCGTGCATGCCTTAATGTCCGATGAACAACCTATTGTTTTATTGTAATACGAAGATGTGTGTCATATCTTGTGTTTTAGAGTTTTTTTTCCCTTTGTCTGCAGGGATTGATATTCGATGTGTCCTTTGAATAAACATCCATGAATTATTTGGGATCGAATTAAACACAGAATTTAATTTGAATACAATTAAATGTGCACGACTCCCCTGTATTGCTGGTCATTTTATTTAGAATGATGTTGTGAACTGTTTTAGGTGATGGACAAACACCTTCCCGTTCAGCATCCTTGGAGAGCAGAGATTGGTAGTATTTGGCAGGCAAGCTGAGGTTTTCAAAGGCCTGTTATGTATTGATATGGGTCACAGTTGTAGTTGATGGCTGACTGCAGAGAGCCAGTGGGATGCAGGCGGTCCTGATGTGAGTATCATTGCCTGCATGGGATGATGCAACCGTTTCTGGTGCTGATGCAAGCATCCCTAAAATAACAGCCGGTTCTAACATAGCAGCTGCATCCACGCGTCTTCAATTGTAGTTGTTTTCAATCCCCCACTGAGGCCTGTAGGCCGGTCCACACAGATCAAGGCGTGTCTCCTTGAGAATAAAAACCCACTGGAATATTGTTGCGTAGAAGTCGAAACATGACATCATCACATATGTAGTCATGATGATGTCTCAGATGACGAATGGCTTTTTTTCCCTTACTGAGTGGAGAGGGAGAGAGGGGGGAGGCCCACCCATCCCCCATGATGCAGCTGTCTTATTATAAATTCACTGGTGGATCCTTTTGAAAGCTGCTAGAGCACAGCACATTTGTTTAGATTCAAGTCTTATGTATAACAAGGATTTATAGCTTGACGAGGGTTATTTTGAGTAGACTTGTGCATTTTTAAATGGGAAGCGTGATTGTGATTACTGATAGTAGGCCTTATTGCTTGTTTATGTCCTGGCAAGTTGTGTAGCTCATGTATAATTAAATCCTACATTTTTTTAAAGGGTTAGTTCACCCAAAAATGAAAATTCTGTCAGTATTTACTCACCCTCATGTTGTTCCAACCCCGTAAGACCTTCGTTCATCTTCAGAACACAAATTAAGATATTTAAGATATTAAGATCACTCCTGCATACTAGTCCATAGGCTTCTTGAGGGAATGACTTGCTGTCCTTGAAAAGTCATTAAAGACATCGTTAAAATAGTCCAAGTGACTACAGTGGCTCAATTTTAACTTCATCAAACGACGAGAATACTTTTTGTGCGCAAAAACGAACAAAAATAACAACTTTATTTCAAAGACTTTTCGAGGACAGCAAGTCATTCCCTCAAGAAGCCTATGGACTAGTATGCAGGAGCGATCTTAATATCTTAAATATCTTAATTTGTGTTCCGAAGATGAACAAAGGTCTTACGGGGTTGGAACAACATGAGGGTGAGTAAATACTGACAGAATTTTCATTTTTGGGTGAACTAACCCTTTAAGGTATGTATTGAAATTATATAAGACATTGGCCACCCTGATCCAGATATTCATATAAAGCTATTTAAAAACCCATTTAGGGCAACCACTTAGATTGATTGATTCAACCACGTTTTTTGTCATAACATATTTCTTCACTACAAATCATTCAACATTTGAAATGATTACAGCGTATTAAGTACTGAATGGGAAAAAAAGAGAATTTGGTCATACGCTCGCCCTCATGTCGTTCTAAAACTATATGACTTTTTTTCGTCTGCACAAGACAAAGATCACAGTTTGAAGAATGTCTCAGCTGATTTTGTCCATATAATGAGAGTCAAAGGGCTCCACATTTTTCATGAAATGAAATGTCTTCTGAAGTGCTACAATCATATTGTATGATGAACGGTTCGAAAACCTTGAAGTCGGCATGAAATCAAATTTGACAAATCTTTAATATGTAATATTGTAGTGTTTATTATAAATGATTTATCTGTGCACTTCATTATTATTTTTTTTAAAATTCATGTACCCTTATAATCTTTAATCAAAGACATTACCCTTACCTCCCCCATCGAAATTACCTCTTTTCTATTTCGGTCACGTAGAATGGCGAAAGGGTGCGGCCAGATCCGATGAGGGTGTGGCTATCGGTGCACCGCCTCTCATAGAATCGCATTCAAATCTGCCTCCATTTTGTTTGCAACCTCCAACGATCCAATCAATTCCTGACAGACGAAATCAAGCCCTGCTCTACATTTTTTCTAACTTCAGAAGCCGTTTCACTCGGCTGTGCGTCACAACAAAGAAAAAATGACATTCTCAACTTCCGTTTCACGCCGATTATAAAGAGGTGGTTCAGAATTTTGGACATCAGGCCTCATTTTCAAGTTAGCCTTAGTGTTATTTATCAGTGGAGACCGTTTTCAAAAATCTTCATCCAGTCGTTCCAGTTGCATAGTTTGCTGGTGCTAGTCAATGGTAACTGCTAGCCTGCCATTAAAAACAATTTTTACCCACTCCACAGTACACCAAAAGCAAATAAATTATAACGCCAGACTATCGATGTAAATGTCTGTTAAGAGAATAATGTTAAAAATCAAACTACTCTTACATCTCAATGATCGCAATACATTTACAGGAACTAGTTTCTCAGCAGCGGTAGAATTCTACTTTGCTACGGTTAGTACTGCGAAAAGTAAACACCAAACCGAAGCGCACTAACAGTCGAGACTACCTGTACTACCTCTCTCTACCTCCCTCTTGGTTGCCTAGGTAACTTAAGCTGCGTTTCCACCGCAATTACCAGGAACGTTTTTCATAGGAACCTTTTTTTGCCCCAGACCGCTTGCTTACTGCGTTTACTAAAACGCTTGCTTACCGCGCACTAAAGTACCGGTCCGGGGCGGGAAGATTATGTAGTGACGTTGAAATGCGTGCGACTGCTCCTCCCATTTTGCACCTTTGTTTTGAGTTTTGTTTGGAGGAGATTCAAGCTATGCTGCTTTTGTGTGCGATTGGTTTACTAACGAAGTAATTAACAAAACGGCAGAAAAGAGACGAGCACCCAAAGCGTATGTTTACCCGGATTTTTACTTCATTTAGACCCTGGTTCCTGTGGTGTGAACACACAAGCCTCTTTTCTACCAAAGTATTTTGAGAGCCAGTTCGGAGCCGGTGCCTTTGTGTTTCGACAGCAAAAGAACCAGTTCTCAGCCAGGAGAACTGGTTCCAAAGCGGCACCAACTCTTTGGTGGACTAGAACCGTTCTTTTACCACGCCATGCTTACGTCGGGGGCTGGGGCGGGTTTAGATGTGTTCTAAACATCTTTTCTGACCATAATAAAGGATTGCAAAGCCAAGAGAAACATTTGCAGAAACACGATGGAGTCCGCCTTTGTAATTGTTATGCTTGAAGTTAACGCAAGCATTTCTATTTTTGTAAAAAATTTTATTTAAGACATTATAAGCAAAGAAGAAAACAGTCACAATATAGTACAAATAAATGGAAAGAAAAAAGACACAACACAGGGGTACATAACTTATCAGAAAAGATTACATATCAAACAAAAAGATTAAAAGACTTGCATATTTCAATTGTTTTTAAAGCCTTCTTGGTACACGAGTTAGAGATAATCCCAAAGTAATGTTGTACTTGCAAGCGTTTCGAGCTAAGACGTATGGCGACGTAAACAGTGACGTAATGACGTCGTTCCCTGGGCGCTCTAGTCAGTGGAAAAATAGGTGCTGAAGCGGTTCGCAAGTTGAACCAACTCCGAACCAACTTTGATCCAGCACCAGTTCCGAACCAGTTCTTTTTTTGGTGGAAAAGTGGTAACAGAGTACCACCCCAAAGTTCCTAGTTCCTGGGGAAAGTTCCTGCGGTGGAAACGCGGCCTTAATATCACTCGGTCAGACTGCGCTTTTAAATACAGGGAACAAAGTACAACTATTGCAATGTGATTAAAGGGTAGTTTGATTCTAACATTATTCTCGCAACAGACATTTACAATAGATAGTCTGGCGTTATCATTTATTTGCTGTTGGTGTACTGTGGAGTGGGTTAGCAGTTACCGTTGACTCGTGCTAGCCTAGCACCGGCGAATTATGCAACTGGAGTGACTGGATGACAATTTATTTTTAAAACTGTCTCCACTGATAAATAACAATAAGGCTAACTTGGAAATGAGGCCCGATGTCCAAAATTCTGAACCACCCCTTTAAGCCTTTATTCACCCGCAAATCAGATCAAGACGTTCAACACAAACCTCAAACCTCAACTAACATCAAACCCCATTGGTTCTCACACATCACATGCCCAAACATTATGACATAGGAATATATCAATCGAGTTGTATTGATTTTCGTTTAGACCTTTCTGACTTTGATTATATGGACAAAAACAGCTGAAACATTCTTCAAAATATCTTACATGTTCTGCAGAAGACAGAAAGCCACGGTATGAGTTTGGAACAACATGAGGGCGAGTAAATTGACATTATTTCCATTTTTGGATGAACAATTCCTTTAATGCAGTGCAATCTTGTAGTGTCTCAATCAAGACAATCACAGCTTTGTTATAGTGATCTTAACTGCAATGATGTAATGTCTGAATATTTTATTTGGCAATCTTGCAGTCAGCATGAGGTTTTCCTATCCTCTCTCAAAGGTCAATGAATCCAGGAAGTCATATTCACAATTTCCTTGGGTTTGTAAGCAACACTGAGAACACTGAGGTATTTGTGTGTGCTCGTGTTCTCTGGATAAACCTTGCATTGATGCTGGGAATGGCCAGTTCTTTTTGCTAGTATGGAATTCTGCCTCAGGCTGCTTGCAGATC